ATGTGTAATCTGATATTGTAGCGCACTACACTAAACAGTACGGTCAGAAAAAAAATATATATTAAATGATAAAAATTGTGATATTAATAAATATTCTTGATCATATATGTTATTTAATATATATTATATAGTTATTTTATATATATGTATATTAAACAAAAACATGCAATTGAGAAATTATTCGTGGTTATTGAAATTAATGCATATATATATATACATATATATTAGGTTTGTCTATTTATAAATATAATTGAGATAGAAATACAATAATTATCAATAAAGCTCTTCTATAAACTAAATATTTACAATATTGTTACGTATGCGCTATATACTAAAAATAAATGAACATCGCCAGGGCAACATCGTTGTATGTATAAAATATGTAACGAGTGATGCCGCTGACTCCGCGGAACGAACACCAAGCGTGTGAACCAGAAGATTCCTGATACACACAAGCTATGGAATGGTATTGCTATCATAACATCGGGTCAATCATGTAGTCTTAGGTGTAGGTTATAAGTTTTAATATGTAGTTCATATTATAATATACATATAAGTAAGTTTCGTAGTTATCCTGAAACGGAGGTTCTATATATAAATATAATTCTATCTTTACTTTATTAAAAGAGTTTTTTTGTTAACCGTATTTCGTTATTGTTTATCAATGTCAGCTGTGATATTGAGTTTTCAGAGGAAAATCAACTCTATACTAAAGAAATAGAGTTGAAAACTAGTAAATTTACTCTCAAAGGCCTGAAGAGTCATCTTGGCTGAGGCGCAATTTATTCCGTGACTTAAAAGGAGTTTGACAAAGTGGGCTTAAGAGTACCACAGTCTCGGAACACACTAATGAGAAGAATTTTGAATATTTTTATCATAACAGCCGCTAAATTGTGTATTGATTAATTATTTTTTAATGATACACTAGATATTTTAAACTAAATCAAAGTTTATTTATAGACCGAATCGTATTTACAGTCAAAAATACTGATTTTATAACTTTGTCACTAAATATTATGACAATAAATCTTTATTTAACTGAAATAAACATTTTTACATCATTTCACATTAAACACTAACAAAACAAGCATAAATATTTAAATTACATAAAACAAAATACAAAATTGCAAAAATAAATAAAGAATTGACAGAACAAAATGGCGTCATTGCAACAATTTCCCGCGTTTTGTCGTCAGTGCGTACTTAACGTCAATTACCACGTGATCATCCCGCTCGCCGCTAGATGGCGGACATCGGATTACTGTCCCTAGAGAATTATTGGACTTAGATTGTATACAAATTATTATCGCAATTTCAACCTTAAATCCTTGAATTAAAGTTTATTTTTAATAAATACGATACAATTGTTACTTGATATTTTCAACAGTTTAGTTGTAAAGACATTTTAATGATGGGAACCTTGTTCATTTATTTGTTTATAATACGCCATTAATTTCGTCAAACGACTTAACTCGTAATCCTAGATTACTATAGAAATAACATTATTATGAGTATATTTTAAATAAAATGATAATAAATAGATTTAACTTTGTACCTGTATTATATTTAAAAAGAAGCTCAATTGACTAATTGACATACTTTTTGTTTTTGATTATTTTAAATGAAAGACATTTTTCTTTCTATTATTTCATTTACGTATATTAAAAACATTTTTCATCGTTAAAGGAAACTTATTAATCATTAAGTAGTAATCATGTATAAGGAATTTGAATATTTTTTTGTTTTTATCATATTTTGTCACTCGTTCTAAATAATATGATTAATTTTCTATTGTATTGTGTCATATCAGGTGCACTATCCGATTTCTTATATATGTGTGTGGTTTCAGTTCTAGCGAGAAAGATTTGTTATTCCATAAAAAATATTAATTAAAAATAATTTTGAAATATCTTTGTTTTTAATTATGTTCTATTATAAATAAATAAGTTATATTTCATAGTAACTTAGTAGTTTAAATATACAGGGTGACTGGTGAATTACTATCAATATTTAAGGAGAATACTCGGTACATGATTCTCATTCGAATTATGTAAAAAAAATAGGTACTTAATTTTTCACCAAATTTCCGTATAAATAAATAAAATGTGGACACGTTCCAAGTGTGGACGCGTGCGGTGGCGTGCTGATACAACACCACGCTCCCGCACGCGTGTGTGTGTGTGTGTATACCTAATCTGTAGGGTGTTCACACGATGCGTAATTAAGTACATAACTTTCGGTTAACTTTACTTAGAAGTTTATTTATTTATTTATTTATTAAATTTATTTATTAATTTGATCTACCAACATTTGTACACACCATTACATACTTAAAATACACAATACACATAACTTACAACTAGGTGTGACAAACAATTACAGGTAGATACATCATCCAAACCCAGCGCGAGCCGCAGTATAAACAAAACCAATAAATTTTAATAAAAATATATTAAAATTTATTTATTTTTTTATTTTATCACAATTACTCTTATTAGGTACATATTTTCCTTCTACCAGCTTTAGCCAGGGTCTACCTTACATGGTGTGAATAGTTTTGGCTAATTGTTTTTAGGACCGACCGCCTGCCTGACGTCAACCCTCTTGGGAATGCATTAATCACCACGCTTGCTCAAGGCGGGTTGGTGATTTGAAACTTATAATTGTGAAATTATAAGTCCATGTTTTCCTTCACCGTCTGTCCTTGGTATATTAATACTCTCAGAAAATACATATGACTCGGAAAAACCACATTGGTACTTGCCAGGATCGAACCCGCGCCCTCGTGCATGAGAGGCGGGCCTTTAACCACTAGGCCACCACTGACACTAATCTTATTACATATTCTTATAGCTCCTAATTATTTAAATCGGTATCGTTCTCATAATGAATAAACCTTTTTTTTTTTTTTTTTTGTTATCGCGGTGAAAGGTTTTATACCTACCCCTCCGTCTAGGGGAGACAGAGGCGGTTATGTGGGATTCACGGCCAGAAGGGCCCATGTTACCCACTAAAACACCAGCGGTCACTCTCCGTTGCCGCCAAGTAGATCGCCACGGGAAACGCCGAAGCATGCATCCGCGACGATCCGGCGGTGGGCCGCGAACCGCCGCCTCCCCCCCCGAGGGCTCACTCCAAGTGACCAGGAGTGTCCCCCCGCCTGGCGGGCTTGCTTAATTGCGAGAGGGTTAACCCCTTACCCCTCCCACCCAAGCCCACGCGGCCAGTCTCCAACCACCCACCGACGAGCGCAAGCGCCCGACGGCAGACAGAGAGGAAACCGACCGACCACAAGCGAACTCAGGCCTCCGGAGAGACTCGAGTATCCCCTCCCCCCCAAGACAGCCACGGACGGCCTCCTGCCAGATCCGTGACCGTCTTACTCCCAGGGCTGTACCCCCCGCCCTCCCCCCCGTGACTGATTGCACCGGAATACACCAGTGGGCGATGGGGTCGTCACGTCTCGACGCCGGACTGCACCGACAGTGGCCGAGGCCACCCGCCAACACGTAGGGCCGAACTTGGCAGCGGCGGTGTACACCGCCGAGCCTCGTCCTACCCACCTCCATGGGCTGCACCCCCAGCCCGGGCCAAGACCCCACGAGGAGGTCAAGGCCCTTCCCCCCCGTGACTAATTGCACCGGAATACACCGATGGGCGATGGGGTCGTCACGTCCCGACGCCGGGCCATAATGAATAAACCTAAGGTAGAGGCGATTAATACTATTTATAATACCATTAAATAAATAAAAAGAAACACCATGATTTTATGCATCCAATAACTGAATAACATTTCAAGTACTTCAAGAAGTTTAAAGAACAAATAAAACAATAATGTTAGGTTTAATATACTAGTTGTTCGACATACTACTAATAGTGCTATCTCTTTCTCCCCCTATCTTCCCTCTCTTTTTGTTAGCTCCGTATAAATGCCGCCAATGTCACGTCATACGTCAATCAGTAACATACATTTATACTTGACTTTCATTTAAATGAAACTAATATTATTCGGATGTACAACGCGTATTTTTTTATTTAAACTACATGCTTCCGACGTTTAGGTTACTTTACAACCGTGACCATTAAGACGAGATGTAAATGAAAATTTAGTTTAAATTATAAAAGCGTAGTACATTAGAATATATTAGTTTCATTTAAATGAATACTCGCGTAAATTTCAGGTCTCATTGATTGACATTTATGTGTTCTTTGTAACTTTTACGTGTAATAAATAACTAATAAGAAACATGCATTATTTTTATGCATCAAATACATTTGAAAAATACCTTTATAAGCAAGGAAACAATTAAAAAAATCATTCTTCATTCGTTCATTTTATTACAAATGAATGAAAGTTATTTAATAAAAATTCTGTTTTTGCACACTTGTCTTTCTTAAAGTTAATTTTAACTTTTAACTCGAAACCAAGATTAAATTGAATATAAAATACTTTTAAAATAAAACTAAATAAAATATAACCATTACAATATTTAATATTACATTATTATAATAGTGGATTTAAGATTAAAAATAACTAGGACATACGAAAGAAATATTTGTTTTAATCGCTAGCACTCGCACCCCACCTTTACTGATACCATTTGATAAGATAAAACAAGTGTGACTTATATTTTGTGAACAGAAACCGCGTTGGGTTCACGTTTTTGTGTTAAAATTGTTTATTTTCATTATTATGTTTCAAGTGAGTTATTCATATTAAGTGATTTTTATTATATTTTATTTATTCAATAATATTCAATACGTTTTATATGCAATGATTTGAAAATAGTGATGGAAAAAATTTCGTGTGATTGACAATAAAAGTTACGTTTAAATCGAAATTAATATATATGTGTTGTTTTATAGAAATCTATTTATATATATTATAAATAATTAATAATTAATATGTCTTAAAAATTAAATTATACTTTTAAGGTGTGAAACAGATAAGATTATTATATTGATAATAGCCAATCGGCGAATACTGAATCACAAAGGAAATGGATAAAACTGTGTTTGTTCTGATTCTTACTTCTTGTATTGGATTCGCTTACAGCGATAATTGTGAGTATATATAAAAAAAAATTAATACGACAGATATAGAAATATTTGAATGATATTACAATATATTTGACAAATAAAACTTTAAAAAGTCGAGTAAATGTTTATATAAGTGTGATTGCTACAGCCATCTATCGTTGGATAGTTAAAATGTATAGTTGAAATGGTTGCAAATATCTAGAAAATTACATAAACAAGATGTGATCGCTACCACCATCTATCGTTGAGTAGTTAAACTATATAGTTCTCATTTCAGCCACCACAACAGCGCCAGACGATGCCTGGAAACAAACTGGTATATGTAGAAAGTGTTCCTGCAAAGATGTCAAAGTAGATTGTTTTGATCAGAGCCTAGTAGATTATTTCAGTAAAGATGAATGGAATCGTGAGTTGAAAATAACTATAATATATCACCCATTATTAAGAGAAATAGTTAATTTTTATGTTTAGATTTTTGAATTAATTAGTGTCTAATATATATATAGGAAAAAAATATTCCCAAAGAAGGTTGTTGTCAGGCTAGCGACCGGTCGTAAAAACTATTAGCTAAAATTATTCACAACATTTAAGGCAGACCCTGGCTAAAGCTTGGAAATTGCCTGGTAGAAAAAGAATATTTAGAGGAAAAAAATTAAGAAATGACTTATTTATGTGTGTTATATTTTAATGTAGTAAAGAATTTATCTGTAAAGAAATCGTAATAATGAAATAAATTTAATTTACGAAATTTTAAATTAGTTATAAAATATATAAAACAAATCTCTCCATACTCAAATTAAATCTTTTTGACCTTAATTCTTTGATTTTATATATATTACAGTTTTAAAAGATCTCAAACCGGAAGTGGTCGATTTGAGCGAGAATTTATTCAGGAATGTGACTGTCATGGCGGAACTTCCGATCCGCGTGTTAAATCTGTCTCGCTGTTCTATTGAGTTTATAGAAAATGGCAGCTTTAAGGATTTACAGAAAATGACTACATTGGACCTTAGCCACAATAAACTAACCACAGAAAAACTTAGTCCGCATGCTTTTGAGGTAATCATTAAATTTTATATATACAAATTTAGTTACTTTTTTATTCATATTTTCTTTAAAAATAGTAAATAGATTAATTCAAATACGTACTTAGAATTTATAATTGAAATGTTATTACCATATTATACTTCCAAAAAAAATGTAACATAATCCATAATATTAACGGTATATTGAAAAAATATTTGAAATTAGGAATTAACTCATACCAGTGGGCCATTTTGTATGACGAGAATACCACATAGTTAAGATATAAACTTTGAAATCATGATTAGTATTAAGTTTTTATAAATAATAAAATAAGCAAGTCAGGGGTGGCCTAGTGGTTAAAAAGCCCGCCTCTCATGCATGAGGGCGCGGGTTCGATCCTGGCAGGTCCCAATATGATTTTTCCGAGTCATATGTACTTATAAGAGTATTTAGACATCACTGATTAATGCATTCCCAAAGAGGGTTGATGTCACTCAGGCGGCCTGTAAAAACAAATAGCCAAAATTATTCACAACATGTAAGGCCCTGGCTATAGATGTGAAATTGCCAGGTAGAAGAAGAATGAAATACGCGTAGTTATACGAAAAATATTTGCGAATACTCGCGAAGTTTTAAATCTCAATGTAATTATCTTATTACCTCAGTTATACGCAAAATACTGTACTAGCGAATTTTTACCAAAGATCTTAATTATAACTAATTTTATTACCTCTAGGGTCGTTACTCTCCCGAAGAGTTTGAGCCTCTCTCATCCATGAGGACCCTAAGCCTCGCGTACAACGACCTCCACTCATTAAACCAGGACCTCTTTGAACATCTGCCTGAACTGACTGAATTGGACCTCAGTGGAAATCCATTAACCACTATTGATCACGTCACTCTTATAGCCATATCAAGTTTAGCAATGTTGAAGGTAAGAGATAATTATAATATTTATTTGCTCTGAATGTAGGCACAAATAGAGAGAAAAGTTGTTTTATTATAATGGAAATTAATTGGAAACTACATTTAGATATATAGGCAGTTTAATTAAAACCCTAACATATTAAGACAAAATAATGTATGGCATTTGTATAGCAAATAGATTTTTCTTCTCTAATTCATTATTAATATATAATAATACTCCCATTTTTAATAGTTTTGTGTTATTGTATTTTATATGTCTGATAGTGCAAAAAAAAGTAAAATATTTTAGTCATAATCTTAGAATATATAGTTCTTTGTCCTTTCCATATCTTCTGTGTAATCTTTATATATATAATTCTTCTGTGAGTGTGTATGTTACTGAACTTCTCTCAAACGACTGGACCGATTTTGATGAAATTTTTAGATTTGACAACTAACTAATATGTCAATCATTCTGTCGCACTTCAAAACACAGAGATTTATGGCTTTAATAGGTAAACTCCAAAAATATAAATAAAAAAACGTAACAGATATTTCTTGATTATAGGGCGATACGAAGTTCGCCAGGTCTTCTAGTATATATATAATCTGAATAACTTCTCATTATATCAATCCAGGTTCTCCGTATGCGTTCGTGTGAACTCACAGAAGTTCCGGAGAAGTTTCTCCACACTCCTCGTTTCTTAGAACATCTGGATCTGAGTGATAACAAACTAACAGCTGTACCCCAGGAGCTGGAAGAAACCAAAAACCTCATATTCTTGAACCTAAACCAGAACCCGATAGTAGAACTTGATGCTACTTCGGAGAAATACCCGTAAGTAGATATTGCGTTTCCTTATGGTAGAATAAAGTTTCAATATTGAAAAAGTATTAAACATCTTGCTAATATTATTCAACCTCACAAAAACTGCTCGTTATATTTTTTTGTGGATGGACTAGCTCAATTAGGTATATCAAAATAGTTTGGAGGTTATATCATTACATTTATTTTTAATATTTTTGGAACATACTTTTGTTAATTTTTATCAACGAGGTCTTACCGAAGGTATAATATTGTAAATTATAACTTGGAGTTTCTAAACCGAACTTTAAACACTTTAACATAAAGTATATTATATTCAAGCACTACACCTAGCTCAATACGAAAGAACACATTTAGTTTTTTAACCAACAAAGACAAGTTCATAAATTTAAATAAGACTAATATTTTCGGGTTTACAAATATATATATGAGAAATTCTCATCTATATTTATGATCACGGTTGCTGCAAAGCAACTCTAAAGTCGGGACTACGTAGTTAAAATATCTAAAAAACAGCGTAATAATCCGTAAATATTAGTTTTATTCCACTGAATACTCGCGAAAGTCTCATTTAAAAATTTATTTGGCACTAATTAAATTAACATTTAGAGGATTCCCCCGTCTTCGGAAATTACAAGAGCTACACATGTGTAATATGAAACGACTTACACGCATCGGTCCTAGTGCGCTGGCCGGCTTAGAAAATATACAGAAACTACATATCAGTTTCAACCCAAAATTAACGGTCATTGACCCCAAGGCCTTAGCAAGACCTGACGATATAGGAGAAACATACGACTGGCCGATCGTTAAAGAGGTGAGTTAATAAAACAATACTTTATAAATTAGAAAGAAAGAAAAGACATTTATTGACATACACACAAAAAAAAAATATACAAAAAAAAAAGATATAAAAACAACATTACAAAAATAAAGAAAATTAATATAATTGATATAAAACTTATTTGCAGTCAAAAGGATAATAATTATGTATAATTATTATAGATATTTCATTTAAAACCTTTAATAATTATTTTGAAAGTAGCTTCAATTTCATTCAAATCAGTTCAATATTTTGATTATTTTCTTTAAGTATATTTTTATTTATTTATTTAAGGATCCCACACAATATACACAGTATACAATTTTAGACTAATCAATACTAAATATTACAGAAATTTGTTCTCTCGAAGGAGACCACAGCTTGCTAATTAAATATGACTAAGCAAAACAATATGAACTTAAAGTTAAAATTATTTTAAAAATAATTTGACATTTTGACTATTTGACAAACTTTTAGAACATAATTCTTAAAAAACACTCACAAATAGTTTATCAACGAATATTAGACAAGCATAAATGTAGGAAAGGCAATGTCTGTCGAACTGAAACCTTGCAATAGATTTTATTGCTTTGGGTAGTGTTCTTTATAATAAGTTTAATATAGATTAACAATATATCATTAAATAAATCGGCTTGCAAACAAAAAGTAGACTAATGGATAAAAACATTGGATGATGAGGATACCGAAAATCTCTTAATTTTCAATTTATAACCCTATTCTTGAATAGTGATGGATTATCACTCTAATTGCGTAACTTATTACAAGTAGGCACTCACACAGACACACACTCACACACACACACACGTAAACGTGACTGGTGAATTACTATCAATATTTAAGGAGAATACTCGGTACATGATTCTCATTCGAATTATGTAAAAAAATAGGTACTTAATTTTTGACAAAATTTCCGTATAAATAAATAAAGTGTGGACACGTTCCAAGTATGTGTGTGTGTATACTTAATCTGTAGGGTGTTCACACGATGCGTAATTAATTACATAACTTTTGGTTAACTTTACTTAGAAGTTTATTAATATTTATGTTATATTAATTTTTATTTTGTCATATATGATTGTCAAATATCACGTCCTCAAGTATCGATAGTAATTCACCAGTCACCCTGTATATAACAGTTTAATGTAAAGAGCTCCCTTTGTTAATATGGCGTGATTACTATACAGTTAATACAGGTATTCCTATATCCATCTCTCACTAATATTTATATAAGATTATGTGTATCAAGTATTTTATAAGAGAGAATAAATGAATTATTATTATATCTATCTATTCCAGTTGTATCTACAATCCAATAATCTATCGGAGATTGATTCACGTCTTGTTTCTCGTTGGGATTTGTTGGAAAAGATCGATGTTTCAAATAATCCCTTCCTCTGTGACTGTACCACACAATGGATGGTGGACATGTTGGTGCCAACCATAGAAGCCAAGACATTAAACTCCTCACAGAAGATGATGTAAGAATATATTGAGATTTTTATTCATCATAATCATCCTATCAGAGCCCACTGCTGAGCCTCTTCTCACATGGAGAAGGTTTGAGCATTAATCACCACGCTCGCTCAAGACAATAAGTTAAATAATTGTAAATTTATATATTTACTATTAAGTTTACAAAAATCGTTATTTAATACATGCGGGCACGGGTTCGATTCTGGCAAGTACCAATGTGGTTGTTCCGAGTCATATGTACTTAAGAGTATTTAAACATCACTGACTGATGAAGGAAAACATCGTGAGGAAACATGGACTTATAATTTCACAATAATAAGTTTGAAATCACCAACCCGTCTTGATCAAGCGTGGTGATTAATGCTCTAACCTTCTCCATGTGAGAAGAGGCCTTTGCTCAGCAGTGGCTTTGATAGGGCGATGACATGACATATGAAAATATTATTCTATAACAACATCTGTTTTTGATTCACGTAACGGAAACGAAAATCTATCATAGCAATAGAAATAGAAGCTAAGATCGAATTATTGAACCGAATAAGACGTTTAAATGAAACTAATATTTTCGAATTACTATGCGTATTTTATTAGGCATCAATGTACTTCGGATATCCGAAAAGGAAGTTTGTAGTTAAAATAATAAAATACGCGTAATCCGAATAAGATAAGTATAATTTAAATGAATCTCAACTTTCACAACATATTTTAGAAAATAATTGATATATCAACGATGTAACACACTTGTATAATATCTTACTATCTTTAATTGAGTTCCAAATAATCTGGTGACTACTTTTGTATGTATGTTCCCATGTCTTTTTGAGAATAAATTCTTTAAACCTTTTTTTTGAATACTCTTAAAAGTTTTAGATCTTAATATAATATATTATTTGACCAGATGTAATGAGCCAGTTGAGATGAAAGGCTTCACTTTCTACCACCTTCACGCTGGTCACAGAACGATGCGTTGTGTTGATAAGTACGGTCACAGGCCGGAGAGGGACGGAGCGATGCTGATAGGGACTCTTATAGGTGAGTGGTGACTTAGCCAGGACCAGCCAGTATCTGGTGTTCCCTGTCGCTGACAGATTCTGGGTACAGCGACATAGCGGCTGGCTTTCGTAGTTTTAGTGAGTAGGGACCTGCCCAGGCCGGTTAGACGGCTCGTAAAAAGAGTTTCCCTTGTAAAAAGGTGAGTGGTGACTTGGGAGGGATGAGGAATTATTACGAGTTAGATTAGAATTTTACCTGTAGGATATTCTATACTTAATATTCTAATTTCTTGTGTGTTGATTACGCAAAAGGTTAAAGTTGAAGTATACGAATGTTGTGTGGATATAAAATATAGCACCAATTTCATTTTGCTAAAGTTGAAAAAAAGAGTATGATGAGTTATTATTGCAAAATAAGAAATGTTAAGTTTTCTTTATTTCTAATCGTAAACGTCTTCGAATAAGTTGAGCTTCTAAAACCTGCTTTTGCAAGCTGTAAATATTCATTTAATTGCATATAAGTGTGTATTTTATATAAGTGTATTAGTATGTAGGTAAAGTTACTCTTATTTAACGCATTTCTGTGTTAAGCGTATCTCAGGGTCTTTACGTAAAAGTATTTCTATTAAAAACCTTTCCATCACAAGTATAGTATTATTCCCATCCCAAAGATTTTTGATATCAGGCAGGCGGATCGTAAAAACAATTAGCCAAAACTATTCACAACATGTAACGCAGACCCTGGCTAAAGCTGGTAAATTGCCAGGTAGAAGATATAGTATTATTCCCCTACTCCAGGTGTTCTTCTCGCTGTTCCTATAATGTTCTGCATCATGATGCTGGTTCGTCGTGGACACCTTTCGTGTCTGGGCTTACGCGGGCAAGATGTGTCGCGTGCCTTCTACAAGCGAGCGCCCGCCGACGAAAACTATATATAAATAAGACTAATATAGATTAACATTATTATAATAAAGATTGATTTTAATAAAAAAATCATATTGTTTCATTTATATTTAGGCTTTTTATTTCTATCATCCGTAATTTTCATATAATGACACAAAATAGACTTTATTATTAGAACGCTCATATGACAATCAGTACAATGGTTGCTTATCTTTGATTTTTAAGCATTTAACTGTTTATTTGTAATCATTTATTATATATTATTAATTAAGATATAAAATCTTTTATATTGTCATATGTGACATATTCGTATCAGTAATGCAGAACACGATAAAACAAATATCACAATAAATGAATGATTTCTTCATCTAGGGACATTTTGCTAATTATAATTTGGTCATTTTTAAAAGGTTTTGCTAATAAATAAAGAAATAGTTTAACATTTAAATAAAAAATATTGTAATAATTAGAACTAAGGATTATCTAATTTTCCTGACACCTCTGCCTAACCACGTCTACATTAATTGAATTAAATCCTTTATTATTTCAATTCATTCTTATAAATTAAATCTCATTTCTTATTTTGAGAGAGATAAATAAAATTACTATTAATCTGGACAAATTTTATTGAATACATTCTTGTTTTAATGCTTGAGACACGATTAATTCAATATATTTTTTACCTGAAATATAAAAAAGGTCATTAAAATACCTATTATATAATATTTACAGTCAGTGGTGTCCTAATGGTTAAAAGGCCCGCCTCTCATGCATGACTGCACGGGTTCGATCCTGGCAAGTACCAATGTGATTTTTCCTAGTCATATGTACTTTCTAAGAGTATTTAGACATCACTGATTAATGCATTCCCAAAGAGGGTTGATGTCAGGCAGGCGGATCGTAAAAACAATTAGCCAAAACCATTCAATTCATGTAAGGCAGACGCTGGCTAAATCTGGGAAAATTTGACAGGTAGAAGTATATTATATATATAAAAATTGTACCGACCGCTATCTAACGTCCCCTTGGCGAAATCGTGTAATATAAAGCGTTTTATTTTATGTCGTATTATCCTCAATCTGAAAAATAAAATCATATAAGACATGTTGATTAATGGAAAATTAAAATTACAATCTATATACAGGGTGACTGGTGAATTACTATCAATATTTAAGGAGCATACTCGGTACATGATTCTCATTCGAATTATGTAAAAAAATAGGTACTTAATTTTTGACCAAATTTCCGTATAAATAAATAAAGTGTGGACTCGTTCCAAGTGTTCCAAGTGTGGACGCGTGCGGCGGCGTGCTGATACAACACTACGCCGCCGCCGCGTCTGTATGTGTGTGTGAGTGTATACCTAATCTGTAGGGTGTTCATACGATGCGTAATTACTTACATAACTTTTGGTTAACTTTACTTAGAAGTTTATTAATATTTATGTAATATTAATTTTTATTTTGTCATATATGATCGTCAAATATCACGTCCTCAAGTATCGATAGTAATTCACCAGTCACCCTGTATATATGCTCACTGGCTGTCAGTCGGTCCTGCTCTTCTCATAACTCGCGCCCTCATACAGCGATAACTGTGACAATTGTAGAAATGTCTACATCTGTATGAAATAAAAATTAAAAATAAATATCTAGTATACATTATTATAAAAAATACTCAAATATATACATGTTTTTGGTTAATTTTCAATATAGTTTTGTTTATTTATTTATTATTTTACAAGTTATTTGACAAACCTTTTAGATTCACACGACTTTGTGTCTGAACTGTTATTCCTGAAAGATTGAATAATATTATTATTTGTATACATATATAATTAATTTGAAACATATTTTTATAGTATTTTCTTACCTCTTTTCTACACTATTTTTAATTTTCTTCTTCTCCAACCTATTATAAGTCAAAAGTTTAATTTCTTTTATATTTATAATATTTATCTAAGCGACACTCACCATCCCAGCTTGTTCTGTGTTTTTCGTTTATTTATCGTCGAAAACAGTTTCTTTAGCCCACGACCTGCTCACATTAATGTAATAAAAATAATTAATTGTCAATTATTACATGCTAATAATAAAATATCTTAAACATATATATTAGGATATGTATAATTTTATCATTATATAAACAATAAGTTAATATTTATAAAAAATAAACATCGTTTAGGTTAAAATCAATAAACTAAGTACATTTTTTTATATTCTACCTACACACTGACGATATGATATTTTTTTTAAATTGTAACTGAAAAAAACATTAATTGCAAAGATATGTCTCACAAAAAATATAATATTTTTTAGTTATTTAAAGTAATTATATCAAAAATAATTATAATTAAAACAAAGTTTAATTTTTCTTTCACAATATTCATATTGTAACAAGATAACTAGCGACATCTGTTGGTTGCGTTCTCGAAGTTGGAAATAGAAATAAAAACAATAATTAATATTAAATAATCATTATCTTACGTTGGTGCTCCGTGATTTCCTCATTAAAAGTTCGTCTTATTTTATTGAAGAGGCAACTGTAATGTAATTATTAGTCAAATAAAGAAAATCTAAACATATAATAATGTACTAACATACGTACATATTAGTATTGTTTTAAAGGCTAAATTTAATATGGATGGTGTGAGTTTATTTGTTACACTTTAACTCAAAAACTATTGAATAGTTTCAAATATAATTTATACATTACAATTTATTTCTAATATTCCTGTAGATCAACAAAAACATAATATAACAGTTGTAAGTAGAAAGTTACGTGATTTTTATTTGGACAACGAAAGTGGAAACAAAAGAATTTACACGCTTGAATAGGTGACATGATAATATTTGTCATCAATATTTTTAAGACTAGATGGTTAAATGGATTGACAATACAATTGGAGGATTCAAAATTCTTTAACAGAAACTAGATATAGGATTAAAGTAATTGTATATAGGCATCCTAATGTTTATGTATATATAAAATAAAGTCGTGTTAGTTACACTGTTCATAACTCAAGAACGGCTGTACGGATATGGATGAAAATTGGTGGAGAGATAGATTAGAACAAGGAGAAGGACATTAACTTTTCAACATTGAAAAAGAAAAAAAATATGTTGATCAAATCCAAAATCTTATCTACTGTCTTTAAGAACAAATTCTACATCTATATTTATATGTAAAATAGGCTTTATATATATTTTTTTATGATCAACTATTGATTTATATATTGCAGTGACAAATTATTATAGTTTTATCTTACGTTGTCCTTTCGTGGCTCATAACAACGCTCACTAGTGAACTTCTTGCTAGAATCTTCTTCTTGACTGCAATTTATATATTATCTATAGAATAAAGTTATAGATATAGATATATAGATATAGATGAAATGACACTTACAACTTATATATGGGAGCTTAATAATACTTCGAAGCCGTCTGTCCATCCAATGACTGAAAAAACAAATTTATATAAGTAAAAAACATAACACGATTCTTTTTAATAACATTTTCTGTATATACTGTTATTTTGAAAATATTTTTATGAAGAAGATCGTAAATTTAATTATATTTGAAACAATATTATACAAAATTAGGATGAAATCAAATAAATTATTAATACTTTTGTAAATATAAACTTGTTGTCGAAATGTTATAAGAGCGTCATTACTACGTAGTTTTTAATACATAGCTAGAATGCGAGTAAAGCATAGATATCAACTTGTGTTTTAGTACGAGTCTATAGTTTTTCTTTATTTTTGAAACAGCTGACGATAAAACTGACAGTCCGTAAGTTAGTAATAACAACTGTTAGTAATTCAAAATGTATTTCTCAATCTAAAAATGTCTTCGTTTAAAAAAAAAAAAATATTTGGAAGGCACTATGATTAGAATTTTCTTATTTTTAAAAAATAAATAGTTAAAATAGGTATATTTATTACATAGCATACAAAAAACATTATACATATTATATATCAGTTGAAAACTATAATTTAATTAATATTTTTATCAGGACAACATTTATACATCAAAATGATAGCTTACAAGTCGGTTAAAATGAAAAAAAAGTCAAGTTATGAATAATACTAACGTTTTCAACTGCTTGGAGTTTTCGGAATCGAAACTGCTTAAAGGCAGTTCACCAGACGTATCTAAATGAAAACATTTATATATTATTATTAACAATTCATTTATAAATGTATTGATTTAAATAAAATTAATATTTTCAGACAATTCACATCTCGTCTTAATGATCACGGTTGCTGTAAAGTAACCGAAACGTGGGGAGTATGTAGTTTATAGTCAAAAATACGCGTAGTAAATCCGAAAATATCAATTTCATTTTAATGAATACACGAGAAAGACATCTCATTATCTTTTAATTTATTACAAAATATATTTAATTATTTTTTTTAATTTTATTTTATGTGACATTAAAGTTTAAACTAATATAAGTATTTACAAAAATTATTTAATACCTGAACCATCGGTTATACATAAACTTTTTGATCTTTTGGCTATAAAATTCATTTGGGGCGAACTGAAAAATATATATACACATATTATATATGTAAAAACTATTAATAAATATAATATATATTATAATTTGATCATTACTCAGATTTTATAATGACGGGCATTGCTGATTTCCTTAAAATCATTTGCGCTATCTCCGTAGATTTCCCAAGTTCTGTTATAATGTTATAATTAATATTATTGATATATAAAAATATATATTAATGTGATTTCAACTGTACCTGCGATTCTGAGGTCACTGCAGACGTTTTTCTGTAAAAATAACAATATAAGTACGTTTCTCAAATACATAGTGTTTTCAAATTAGGTTAGGTAGAGAGAGGAGCTTGTACGGTGGAGGTGATCGTTTATCGCGTTAGATAGTGTCCCTTAAACCTACACCTGGGTCACAAGTCCCAGTCACTGTTGAAGCTCCTCTCACTACAACGATGGACCCGACACACGCACCGTGAATACATGGAATGATGAGAGGTTTCGTCTCATATATATAGGACTAACTCAAAATAAACATTTATTGACAGAAATAATGGTCGTCTTTAATAAAGCTTTAGTTTCTCAAATTAATGAGTACATATATAATTAATTAATGAGTATATTTAAATGTACAATGCTTATTTATTTAAAAAAATATATATAATTGTAGACTTTTACAGACATTAAATTGTAACAGTTGTCACAACTTAGATATATAATTTATGCACAAGACTTTATTCGTATTCTACAATATTTTATAGAAATAAAATAGTATATGACTTATACTCAATGAAATAAAAAATTATTCTAATAAAAAGTCTACGTTAAAATTTCAAATTCATTTCCAATGGTGAGAACAAAATAATTTAGTCACTGAAAATTCTTATTAACTGTCTCAAAGACTTAATGACAATTTTTTAATAATTAAAGTTTTACTCACAGACTTTTTATGTTTGTATCTTTTTTGTTTTTTTGTTGGCTTGCTTCGTGTGTTCATATCAAACCTATAAGAAAAATATATTAGTAATAATAAATATAAATAAAAGGAACCGGTTTATTAGATTTCAAATGATATGAAACCATTTCATAACATATGAAACCCTTTCATAGTATGTGAATATGAAACGGTTTGAAAATAACCTTTCAGGTAATTGTAGATTCTTCAGAATTTCTCCATTAACCAGTGTTGTGGTTCCTTGTTCTAAAATTTATTACAAAATTATTAAACAAGCACAAAATTAAATTAATATACAATTATATTACATACTAGTTTTTGCCCGCGACTTCGTCCGCGTTAGTTTCGTCATTAGTAATATATGTATAGCTGACCGGGCAAACTCTATTCCGTTTTAGAGGCCATTAATAATCAGGTTTCTCCTGTTTCAATCGAACAGAATGATTGACATATTAGTTAGTTGTCAAATCTAATGTCAAAGAAAACGTTTGTATGGGAAATAGAAAAGGGCTGTTTTTAGGGTTTTCCCGGAAATTTATCAATTTTTTTCAGCTTTCAAACCTTCCCTGAACCTCCACCAACATTTCAAGACTAAGATAAGGTAAATCCGTTTAGCCGTACTCGAGTTTTAGTGAGACTAAGGAACAGCAATCCATTTTTATATATATAGAAGATTTCTCACCGTTGCTACTTTTCTTCAAATTTACTTTTGTGTCCTGTGAATATAAAAATAATATATATTAATATATTTAATATTATATAATACTTACTTTGATTTCTAGTATTGTTTTATAATATATTTAAAAATTAATCATGATAACAATAATGTTTTTTCTGTCTACAACGTATTCATAGTATGAAATGGTTACTGTATGTGTGAAAGCAGTGCTTTGAAATGGTTTGAAAGATTTGAATGAAATTGAAATAACAACCATTCCAAATTATAAAGGTAGTAAACCCTGGATTTGTTCCAATGAGTGACAGAAACCTAATTCAACCACTTTAATCTGATATTCAATTATTTTTCTTCTTTTATAGTACTTTAGATGACTTACATTCCAAACTCCCGAAGTATATCTTTAGGTACTCATAGTCGTCAGCACTTACCAGTTATTTTTTTATATACTAAACGTAAAAATGTTATATGGAAGCAATATATTCTCTTACAGTATTTATGGTCCTTATATTTATAGGTGTGTTCTGTCTTGATAGTTTGCTGGAAATATAACATTTATTTATTTAAATTATGATCTGGTAAAGACTAATGGAATGAATAGTATGTAAATCCATTATTAGTAATAAATTCCATTTTCTATTTTAATAAAGATAGTTTTCATCCTTTTCGATGTGAAATGATGACACTATTAGTCTCACGTTAATCGTTTAAACTCATACTAAGCCATTACAATCCCTTCTAATATTATAAATGCGAAAGTAACTCTGTCAGTCTGTCTGTCTGTTACGCTTTCACGCCTAAACCACTGAACTGATTTTAATGAAATTTGGTACAGAGATGGAGTTGACCTTGAGAAAGAACATAGGAAAGTTTTTATCCCAGACATTTGAAAGGTTCTCTTGGAAACGTTATATAAGTGAACTCCACGCGGGCGAAGCTGCGGACCTAAAGCTAGTTAGTAATAAATTCCATTTTCTATTTAAATAAAGATAGTTTTCATCCTTTTCGCTGTGAAATGATCACACTATTACTTTCACGTTAATCGTTTATACTCATACGAAGCCATTTCACGATATATATAATCGTCAATAACAATTTGTTCAAACTTTTATGTTTCATCAACTTACGATAGTATTGTCAAAGAGATGTTTTACGTAATACTAATATTAAACAAGTCTCTCCACCTGTCTTCTCTCGATTTTTCCGAACTGCTAGTTATATTCTGCGCCATCTCAATAACTCTGTTTTCGTTTCTATTCCTCTTTGGCCTGACTTTCTTCCTCGTGGAAGACAAATCCTCGAAGATTCGGTGAGAGCAGTTCTTGCAGAATATAACGCCTTTGAAAATCTCCGCGTTGCGTAGATTCGTTTCACTGCATACATCTAATTTGGAAGTTTAATATTATTAGAAGAATTAACAGAGAATTCTTTTTTGTTTCCTAGAATGACCAAGTCAACTTTGAGTCTGAATAATGAATACATGTTTTTGCACTGTCAAACATTACACCAAAATTCCCTTTTTAAGGAAAATGTCTATTGAAATAAATTAAAGGATTAATTAGCCTGAAAATAAGAATTTCGCGTTTCAACACTGGAAGAAAACAACTAAAGTGGTGTAAGTTTTCGGACTTAAAGTATGCTAACTGAACTATATTGTTGACTAAAAGGAATTAAATCTATAGGATTCATGACGAAGGATTAGATTTAGAATATCAGATAAAATATGTGTTCAAAGTAAATAAGTAGTTTTACGTCGTTTAATTTATATGAAAATTGTAATTATCATGGTCTTTTCGATAGGAATCTTAGATATGAATGTGGGGGGGTATGTTTCTCGAGGTAGACCTAAGAAAAGATGGATAGCTTTCGTGAAGAATGGGGACGTGGCAGCTGAAAAGGAGAACATGTTGTGACGACCATACATAAAGTGGGACCAGGGCAGGGAAAAGAAGAAAATAAGCTTTACGATATAATTGATTGATAAGATAACAATGAGAGACTAATAAAACGTAATTCGGCGAAATTTGTATTAGAAATCGATGGAAATTATCTTAAAATCGGTATAATATATACCAAATATTATTCGTAAATTTCTAAAACAGTGCTATCATATGTATTATAAACAAAATCTATCAAGGAAACTAATATTTCTCGGATTATTAAGAGTATTTAATTATTGTAAAAACTACATGCTCCCGACTTTTCGATTATTTTTTAAGATTACAGTTGCTGAAAAGTAAGAGTATTTAGACATGACTGACAGATGAAGGAAAACATCATGAGGAAACATGGAAATTATAAGTTTGAAATCACCAACCCGTTCTAGCAAGCGTGGTGATTAATGCTCAAACCTTCTCCATGTGAGAAGAGGCTTTTGTTGAGAAGTGGGTTCCGATAGGCTGATGATGATGTAGTTTTTACTATAATAAACTACTCGTAGTAATCCGAATAATATTAGTTTCATTTAAATGAATACTCGCATGTCTTAAATCTCATTGAAATCCTTTAAGTCAAACTTCATTTGTACTTACAACACTTGTAGCATTTTCTGTGATAGCTTCTCCCGTGATGAATAGCTCCTTCTCCAGATTTAACAGTTGTGTTACAATGCTGGCACACTTCGCAACTTTTAATGAAATAAATATTAAATTTAATTTAATTCAGTTACTTTTATGTAGATTAGAAAACATAGATTTTTGTCAGATATATTTAAGCTGTAAAATCTTGTCTATGTTTGAAATTACTCTGATATAAAGAATAATGAGACGCTTTTTTCTTTTCATGAAATTTTATGATGTATAGTAAGTACTAACAGAGCTTTGAAAATTCTTAATCAAAAATGTCTTTGATACCAAATCAATTGGCTTAAACATAGTCGCTAAGATAATATATGGAAAACTAATATTAATAATAATACTTACGCCATTTTTTGTTTTATTTTATATATATATTATAATTACATTATTTCTTTCACTATAATTTCATATTTTATGCTAGGTCTGTCAATGTCAGAATGAAAGCAGTCTTATTTTTTTATCAACGTTTTCATGTTGCATCATTTTTATGATTAATATATTTTACGAATAAGTATTTTTAGGTTCAGAATAATAAATTACTTAAAAAAATTACTAATTACAAAAAAAATTCTTAATAATTCTTACGAATTTATGAAATAACTAAAGTAATAGGTTTTTTATCACTGATGATTGATACCTCATGGAATCGAACAATCCCTACTAATATTATAAATGCGAAAGTAACTCTGTCTGTCTATCTGTCTGTTACACTTTCACGCCTAAACCACTGGACTGATTTTAATGAAATTTGGTACAGAGATGGAGTTGACCTTGAGAAAGAACATAGGATTATTTTTATCCAGGACTTTTGATAGGTTCTCTTGGTAACGATATAACCGAACTCGTCGCGGGCGAAGCTGCGGGCGGAAAGCTAGTGTGATTATAAAATTACTCACGCTACCGAATGTACGACGGTTCACGAGCAATAGAAGGACTCGATACAAGACTGCAGAACTTATTAAAAATAATTAGTTTAATAAATCAAATGCCGTGGTGGCCTAGAAGTTAAAGGCCCGCATCGTGCATGAGGGCGCGGGTTCGATCCTGGCAAGTACCAATGTGATTGTTCCGAGTCATATGTACTTAAGAGTATTTAGACATCACTTACTGATGAAGGAAAACATCGTGAGGAAACATGGACTTATATCAAATTATAAGTTTGAAATCACCAACCCGTCTTGAGCGAGCGTGGTGATTAATGCTCAAACCTTCTCCATGTGAGAAGAGGCTCAGCAGTGGGCTCTGATAGGATGATGATGATGACTAATAAATCAAAGAGGAGGGTTTCTTATAATATAAAAATAATACTCAAATGAACTTAACTTCCAACCTTAATCAACTTCTTAACTTTCAAATATTTTTCATTATATGAAAAATTTTAAGATTTTATTTATTTTTAAGTAAGCTTTACTTCAAATATATGTAAATTTTAATTTAAAAGTATCACTTATTATAAAAAACTACTAATTACACAACTTTTTATTAGCTGTGGACACATTAGTATCACAAATGTAAGGTGTATACACATTTAATGATTTTTAAGATCTAAGATTCTATAGCTTAGTTGAAACAATAACTGGTAGGGCATTATTTCAAGGTAGCAGGTTCGAATCAATGTTGTATATTTATAAATACGTGTTATGAGACGAAACCTCTCATCATTCAATGTATTCACGGTGCGTGTGTCGGGTCCATCGTTGTAGTGAGAGGAGCTTCAACAGTGACTGGGACTTATGACCCAGGTGTAGGTTTAAGTGACTCCTAACTAACGCGTTAATTAATGACAGAACAGAATAAATAAAACGAAAAATGCTTTAGAATTATTTTATTAGGAATCCAAAATAAATGTATGGAAATACAAAAACACAGACGAATTGAGAAAATTTCTTAGAAAAAAACCTTTTGACAAATGTTAAACTTGGACATTGTAGTTTTTACGATTTTTTACTATTATATACTATTATAAACAGAATTTAAAACATCGTTTTTTTTTGTATACATTTTTGTAAATATATTTCTGCTGGTCCCATTATGATAATACTTTCGCATTTGATAGTTTGATTCAATCAAACTATTTTAGTAGATTTTTTTTTATTATTCGAAAATATCTGTTTTATGTAAAAATATCATACTTTATTTCGTTTATTTTCGTTTTTCGTTCGTGTTATTCTTATATATTAAATTCGTCGTCTTATATATACTATGAGTAACATATAGCTATTAATATCTTCTTCCTGGCAATTTCCCAGCTTTAGTCAGGGTCTGCCAGGGTCTGTCTATATAACTATTAATATATCTTTATATATCTATGACATATTTACTGGCCGGCAAATGCTGGTTTTATTACTATAGGAATTAAAACATTTCACTATAAATCTTAAAAATAGGAATTTTTTGTAAAAAATCGCTGAAATTTCTGAAAAAACAATGTTTTTTTTGGAACATATTTTTTGAGATCAAAGAGATCGAATAGTTAGAGATAGGAATGAACCAATTTTGAGATCACGAATTTTTTTTACATTTTTTAATTCGTCTAACTTAAAATACATTAAAAAATATACTGACCAAATTTTCACCCATGATTTAAAACTATATTTCTTTAATATTAACTAAATTAAAACAAAAAAATATGTTTTTTTGTTAAACTACGTCTAAACTTGATTTATTTTTTATATATTGGACTGACCATTCTACGTTTAATATATATGTATATATTAAAAAAATGTTTTTTCAATACAAAATACTTTTCTACCAAGTCTAAAATACTATGTAAAGCAAAAATACTTAAATTAATAGACTCTTAAAAACGTAACATTTCTTTATATTAATGTTATAGAAAATGTAGGACAAAAAAATATCAAAAAACTACACCTAATATTGCTAGCGCCCTGTAATGTATCGGAACAAGAATTTTTGAGCACTCAAACTTATATACTAAATATAATATAATATAATATAAATGTATATTTACTGGCCCTAAGTGTAAAGTAATGCCGCTTTATACAGCGGCATATAATGAAAATAATGCCGAGCTATCTAGCAGCATTTAAATATTATGCCACGTTATCTAGCGACATCTATGATAGCAGGTACTTAATTCTGATTAGTTATATATTAAATTAATCTAGATTTCATCATAGAGCACCATATTGTAAGATCTACAGGACGGTATTCGCTTATCTAATTAGTTAAATCTATCTAGGTAGATCTAAACTCAATCTAGACAAACTATATATCTATAACCGAAGACAAAAATAGTTTTAAATTTACTGTCATGATAGATTCCATTATTTTTATTTCTTGTGACACATTATCAAGATCACATCTCTTACACGGTACATAATTCTCTTAGAAAGTTACAAAACTTATGTATATATATGTAGTTAAAATGTGAAATAAATTAGTATGTAATATATTCCCACAAAAACTGTATAATTTTATTATATCATATTTGTTTTTCATAATCTCTATTTAATATGAAAATTGTTTTTCTAATGTGTCTTAGTTAGTCTGTTGTTACAAACTCTTCTAATTAAAACAAAATTGTGCCAGTAAATCTAGAAAAACTAGAATTCAAATAAAAATTACATCTCCTTATCTTGTTATGAAATCTAAACTGTAAATCTATTACACAAGTAAACACGATTTTTGAGTCTGAGTTCTGTGGTGCTGATTTAGATTAATAATGTCTAACTTAACAATAAAAAAATACTTTTATTTGATAAAGTTTGCTTTTGTAGCAACCAGAACGCAATTTCTAATTTTAAGAAAATCTTATTTTTTTAATTCAGTAGAATACAAAGGCAAGAAAAAGAACTTTAATTTATATGTTAATCACCTTTATTTACAAAGAACAATAAAGATAAATCTCCAAATACATAAAAAGAATCAGTAAGAAACTTTAGAAATGAATATTTTTTGTTTTTCTTCTGTGTGAGTAGGAACCTTCTCGTATTAGACTCCAAATGTAGTCACCCATCATATTCTCATTATATTGTCCTTGATAACGTTGTTCAAAGTTTATCATATCTTGGTGAAAGCGTTCTCCTTGCTCTTCTGAGTATGCCCCTAAGTTATCTTTAAACTGGTCTAAGTGAGCATGTAGCATATGTACTTTAAGGGACATTCTGCATCCCATGAGTTTGAAATTCTCAAGCATATTAGAAATGAGCTCTTTATAATTTGCAGCTTTTTTATTGCCAAGAAAGCCATGGATCACTGCTTTAAGGCTGAGCCACGCTTGTTTTTCGTGAGCGTTCAGTAGCTCTGGGAATTTTTCACTGGCCATTATTTTCTTAATTTGTGGACCGACGAAAATACCAGCTTTAACTTTAGCCTCTGAAAGTTTAGGGAAAAAACTCTTTAAGTATTCAAAAGCTGGAGAATCTTGACGAAGAGCCTTCACAAATTGCTTCATGAGGCCTAATTTAATATGCAATGGAGGCATCAAAATATGATCGGCCTTCACAATCGGTTCATTCTTGACATTATGTTTTCCTATCTGGAACTCGATCCGTTCTGGCCATAACTGCTGCTTGTAGTGAAGTGTGTCAGCTCTACTGTCCCATAAGCAAAGATAGCATGGATATTTAGTGTATCCGCCTTGCATACCCACCAGAAAACCTACCATCTTGAAATCCCCTATAACTGGCCAAGCATACTCTTCATACTTTAAAGTTTGAAGCACCATTTTAACGCTTTCGTAATTTTCTTTGAGCATTGCAGAATGAGCCAAAGGTAGTGATGGAAATTTATTTCCATTGTGAAGGAGGACTGCTTTTAAACTTTTTGTAGAGCTGTCGATGAAAAGACGCCACTCAGAAGAAACACAAGGGATTCCGATCGCATCAAATAAACCTTTCACGTCATTGCAATAACACAGTCCGTCTTTCTTTGTAAAAAATCCAGAAAATATTTCATGACGCTTTCTTTGATCACTTATATTAACATCCTGCTTGAGCAAATTCCACTGTTTTAGCCGTGAAGCTAATATTTCTGCTTTAATTTTAGGTAGGTTTAAGTCTCTTACTAAATCATTAAACTCTTCTGAATTAATAAGATGTGGTTCAACAGACACTGATTTGATTAAGAATTCGCTGCCTTCGCTACTACTACAATCTTGTGATAGCGGGAGCTCTTCCTTCAAATTGGAACGAGAAGGCACAGGAAAATGTTCACTGTGGGGTACCGGAGCGGTTGTTGATGGCAATTCTGGGTACTGAATCTTTTTGGCATTTTTGCCAGCCCGACGCTTACGTGGATTGACAAGACAAAAGTAGCAATCACTGATGTGATTAGTGGGCTCCCTCCATATTCTTGGTACTGCAAACTTCATACTTTTTTTTTTCTCCTCGATACCAAGCTGAAAAAAAATAACATACATATAAACGTATATACATATACACACAGGTTATAACATATCGTACTTTTCTTGCGATTAGTATCCTTGAAAGTTATGATGTACTCTCTTACCTTCTAATGTGTTTTTGCAGTAACTACATGAGAATTTAGGTGCCCATATTTTATCTTGACTTCGAATGGGAAGATTAAAATAAGCTTCATAAGCTTCACAGAGTTTTACATTTGACGACAAACTGAATTTCATAGCTCTTACTTTAATGAATTCGCCGCAAATATAACAAAAAGAGTTAACGTCATTTTTACACTTTTTGGAAGCCATTTTAGATTTCGCGCCACACAAATAACGTCGTTTCTTGGTAATGCTCACGCGCATACTACCGAGACTACCTGCCGGTCCCCGCTTCACACCTGTAACCCCCCACCAACTCCGTCTCTAGCGTGTTAAAACCCTTGCACCTCAAACTGTCTGCCAAAATATTAAAATATTTATTTTTCATCGTAAATTGTACAAAAGCAAACTTTATTTGCAATGAACGAAGTTTCTGGTTACTTTTAGTTGTAAAAAATCAGAAAATATTAATTTAATAACAAACCCAAAAAAATTTTTTTTTTTTGTTGACTTGTGTTATTTGCGTATATCCATATGTGAAGTTGTGCCACACAATCTACAAGTGCCGGTCGATCTATAAAACATGTGCCGGTGTATCAGTGCCGCCGCATATGGAGTCCTAGATGATCGGATCTAGCGAAGGCCCGTCGGCACAACGGGCACGAGAATGGTCTGTGTCCCGTATGTTTGCGAGTGTGTCGTGTTAGTTCGTCGGATCTAGCAAAGCGCCAATTGCATCCGGCCCAACCACAGCTGTATGGCTTCTCACCTATATTTATCACTTTATATTAGTAATATATATACATATATATATAATTCTCTCATTGTCCGAGGTATATTAAAAAGAGAAACATTTGGTAATAGATGATTATTTTGGCTATATACAGATATATTTTAAAGGAAATTTCAAATATTTCCATATACTTGTATGTACTGGGAGAAAGTTTTTGTTTTTTATCAAGGATCAAAGGTTTTATATGAGAGAAGTTTCTGATAAAACTGAGAATAACAACCAAAAAATTGGATATTTTGCAATAATTACTAATATTTTTTTATATTAAACTACTTTTTATCGGATTTTTTGTCAGTATCCTTAAATAAAATGGTCTGAAACTATCATTTATAGTATGTTATAGTAAATTTTACCTGTATGGGTCCGTTTATGCGCTTTCAGATGGGAACTTTTCGTGTAAACCTTATGGCAGCCTGCTACGTCACACTTATGAAGCCTTTTCCTGTTCTGATTAGCATCAGATTCCTCTCTGTACTTCTGGTTGAGTTCTGTTAATGAATCTGTTAGAGCGTTCTGTAGCGCCGTGTTAAGAAGAAAATTCATTTCTTCATCTGGCTTAATCTGCTGGTAGTTGAAAGGCATCACTGGCGTGAATATCTGTTTGTTTGTGTACTGTAACGGCTGTGTTGGGGTGTCTTGCTGTTTAAATCTGAAAATATTTGAGATTTTCATCACATATGGGTCTAAATAAGATTTGTGTACCACAAGTAGTAGTTATATTATTATAATAGAAATTATGCACAAAGGATAACTTATTAAAAGATATCTCTACTAGAAACCCTTTGATAGAGGAAATGAGAAAAGAAATGTGGAGTAAATACAATAAAAAGAGAAGGAAAAAAATAAAATAGAGATATATATATTTGTGGGTGAAACAAGATATAAATATGCCATTTATAAGATTTTACTGAAGACTTGGGCCAATATTTAAGGATTACTGGAAACAAATTCTCCAATGTACATAAGTGAAATAAATTTGTTGATGTTAGGATTTTTTTGGGGTAATTGGATGGCTTATATTTTTAGGACATAATTATGAACTTGGATTAATTTGATCACGTAGCATGAGGAAATATCCTAGCCTTTATGCATATACTTCTATTATTTTTATAGATCATTCATCTAGCTATACTGAACCATTCTAAAATAAAGAAAACCTTATAATATCTAAGGTTTTTTCGTGTACAGATTTTAATGAAACTAAGTTTATTTGAATCCTACTTATTTATCATTCTATATCTACATGATCTCGACGTTTCGGTTCCTTTACAGCAACCGTGATCATTAAGACGAGATGTTAAATAAAAAATAGCATATTGACACTAACCTGATGGCATTCTTGATTTTTCTGGCACTCCGTAGACCTGGACCTCTCTTAATCTTGACTGATTCAGGGTTTGACCTGAAAATAAGTTTGACTTAAATTTTAGTCTTTTAAACTGAGTTTTTTAATAATCATGGATAATACTGATTACAGATTGAAATCTATTTAATATGGAATTGTATGCAAGGCTTTCTTTCTAAAGCGAGTTTCTCAAACATTATTTTTATGAAAAATAACTAAAAAAGGTTCCAAAGATATACATTAATCTGATCCCATATGTACACCTTCTCCATGTGAGAAGAGGCAGCTCAGCAGTGGGCTCTGATAGGCTGATGATGATAATGTAAGTACATTAATACTATTTACAGTGAATTATAAGCATATATAACTTACTCGTTCCAATCTATTGAACTTGTCTCCTCCATTCTGACCTTAGAAGACGTGGCTGAAGAGGCTGTAAGAAAGAAATATAGTATTTTAAATATTAATAAAATATTACAATTCTATGCATTTTTTATATACTATCCCTACTATCTGTCTGTCTGTTACGCTTTCACGCCTAAACCACTGAACTGATTTTATTGATTGGTACAGACAGAGTTGACCTTGAGAAAGAACATAGAATAGTTTTTATCCCAGACTTTTGAAAGGTTCTTTTGGAAACGCGATATAACCGAACTAAACGCTTGCGAAGCTGCGGGCGGAAAGCTATGTAGTTGGTTATATTAATTGATCTCGGTTGTTTAATGATGTTATATTTTAAAACAATTTATATTTTAAAATACATGAGATCTAAGATTTTCGCGAGTTTTATTTATTTAAATGAAACTCATATTTTTTGGATATAATACGCGATTTATTTTTGAAAAAAAAACTACCTACATACTCTCGACAGTTCGGTTACTTTTCAGCAACCGTAATCATTAAGACGCGATGTAATATACATATATGTATCTCTTTAATTTAACTTATTGAAAATAATAGTAAGTTGCAATACTCGTATTTATATAGGAAAGAAAATAATAATAATAAATAAACAATATATAAAATCACTTTAAATACGCTCTGTTAAAGTAATTTGTACTATTTGTTAGGGAAATATGTATATATGTATAATGTATTTTGCACTCAAAATATATATAAAAAAAATATGAACATCGCCGGGAAAACAAGGTTGTATAGATGATGTATAAAACGAGTGGAACTAGGTGCCGGGTCCATTGTAGTGAGAGGAGCTTCAACAGTGACTGTGACTTGTGACCCAGGTGTAGGTTTAAGGGACCCTATCTAACGTTAAACGATCACCTCCACCGTACAAGCTCCTCTCTCTACCTAACGAAATATCTGCATACCTATTTTATTTCTATTCACTATTTACTAGAATAGAATTGAAGTCGAACAAAAATTCAATAGTATTAGCTGTTGAGAGATAGTAATTAATTTTTATATTAAGAAAAACCAATTGCAATACTTTTTAAATTCCAAGTAAAGAAAACTTCGGATCGAAAAATCAGTTTTATTTAAGTTCCTTACAGATAAGTGATTTAACCTTAGTACAAACAAGGTTTACTACACACGGATAGTTTAATGGTAAGCCATTCATAAACACGATAAGAATATTCACTGATTTATAAGTGAGAAGTTTTAACAAACGCTGTTAATGTAGTTTATTAAAAGTACTAAGGATTCGTGTTAAGCTGTAATCATTAACTATTCAACGTGACGTATGACGTGCAAGCGATAGTTTTAACGAACACTTCGGAAGTATCGGATACATTCTTGTAATTCGCGTGACTCACGCATCTTTTCATGGCAATGACAAAACGCGAGGACAAAAAAACTATGTTCATTCATTTAAAACTTTTAATCACTATTTAAGATATATAAAGAAAGATTTTTGTCGAATTCTCTAAGAAAAACATCATTTTTACAGCATCAGAGACATTTATCTTTCATAAAGGTAAAATAAGAAAAACAAAATTTTACATCGCTTTTATTAAAATAAACTTTATTAATTTTCATTTTAAAACTGATTTGTAAATCAAGAAAGAAGTAATTATACTATTAATATATGTATATAAAATTGAGATAAAAGTTGCAGTAATCTTTACAAGATGAGATTTAGGATGTTTTAAATATAAAAAATATGCTTTAGAAACGAAAGAAATTATCCAACGTAACGTAAATACTCGTATAATGTATTTTTTTTACATATACGTATATCTTCTTCTTCTACCTGGCATTTTCCCAGCTTTAGCCAGGGTCTGCCTTACATGTTGTGAAAAGTTTTTGGCTAATTGTTTTTACGACCAGCCGCCTGCCTGACATCAAATCTCTTTTGGGAATGCATTAATCAGTGGTGTCTAAATCTTCTATATATATAAAAATGGATTGCTGTTCCTTAGTCTCGCTAAAACTCGAGAACAGCTGAACGGATTTATGTTATCTTAGTCTTGAAATGTTCGTGGAGGTTCAGGGAAGGTTTAAAAGGTGAGAAATATTGATTCATTTCCGGGAAAACCATAAAAACAGCCCTTTTCTATTTCCCATACAAATGTTTTCTTTGACATTAGATTTGACAACTAACTAATATGTCAATCATTCTGTTCGATTAAAACAGGAAAAATCTGATTATTTATGGCGTCTAGGACGGAATAGAGTTCGCCCGGTCAGCTGTACATATATTAATAATGATGAAATTAACGCGGACGAAGTCGCGGGCAAAAACTAGTAGTCTTATAAAGTACATATGACTCGGAAAAATCACATTGGTACTTGCCAGGATCGAACTAGCGCCCTCATGCATGAGAGGAAATCCCTCTTAACCACTAGGCTCCCACTGACTTTACATATAATATATGTATATATATATATATATATATATATATATATATATATATATATATATATATATTTACAAAAAAATATTCATATATAAATCAATATGAAGTAAATAAAAACTAGTCTATTCTTAACGGATTCCTATATTTATAGTTAAGTTCTAATTTATAAAGTAACTGTTAAATTTAACTGTGGGTTTAACTATAGATAGTTTAACCGTAGTGGGATGTTCAAGATACTGTAACAGCGTTAATAGATAGATCCTTATCGTAAGGATTTGATACACAAAAAGATATGCTATGTTTCTCTAAAATAATATACATACATATACTAGCTGACCCGGTATATGTTTTGCCATATAAAAATAGGGGTTGGTGATAAAAAAGCAAAAATTCTGGGTTGCATGTATTTAATGCTACATTACAAAAATTAAAACAGAAAATTTCGTCCGAAAATAATAACAAATTAAAGGTGAACAACCCTTAAATTAGGGGTATGAAAAATAGATGTTGGCCCATTCTCAGACCTACTCAATATGCTTACAAAATTTCATTAAAATCGGTCCCGCCGTTTCAGAGGAGTTCTCTGTCTAACACCGCGACACGAGAGTTTTATATATAAGATGTGTGTGTATGTATTTTAGGTCTTTTTACGTGAAAACAATAAAAAAATTAATAAAAAAAAATTTAAGCTACACGTAGATTCTACAAAAGAAATAAATTCGTATCAAAATGAAAAAATAAGCAAGTGAAAGTAGATACATTTAGACACAAAAGAATATCTATGCTAGTCGTTATACCAAATAGGCAATGAAATTGATAGATTAATGGATAAAATATTCAAAAAAATATAATTAAAAATCCATTGTTATTCAATTTTTATTATATTTTAGTGCGTCTTTAAAATAAAAATCATTATTCATAAAAATGAAACTAGTATTTTTTCGGGAGTATGTAGTTTTTAAAAGAATAAAAAACGCGTATTAATCCGAAAAATATTAGTTTCATTTAAATGAATATTGGCGAAAGTCTTAGATCTCATCATTATTAATAAAATTGTGAGAGATACTTAATAGGACAACACTTTATTTTTAAAAATGTAATTCACTCTTTATTATATTAATAAAAGTCTCATCAAAATAGGTCAAGCCATTTCGGAGTTCAGTCGGAAGAAACACAGACAAACATAATTCTAATAATTTCCCATACCGTTCATACATTCAAAGGCATTTAGTTAGAAGCTCTTATACTCGTAGTAATACAATTTGATCAACCGACTTCAAAAAGGAGGAGTTCTCAATTTCTCAATTTTTCGGTAACTATAGACGAATGCCAATTATTTTAACTATGAGTTAAATCTTTATATATAAAAGAAAGTTGTGTTAATTACACTATTTATAACTCTAACGGCTGTACGGGTTTGGATGAAAATTGGTGGAGAGATAGATTAGAACATAGAAAGGACATAGGATACTTTTCTTCATTGAAAAAGAAAAAAAAATAAGTAGATCAAATCCAAAATCTTATCTACTGTCTTTAAGGAGGAATAGAGTTTGTACAGTCAGCTATACATTACTTATTCTGAAACTAACACAGACGAAGTCGCGGGCAAAAACTAGTTTATTATAAATAAGATTTTATTATTATTACACGATATATAAAATATATTTTACTTATCTTAAATATAGTATAGCTTTGACTACATGCTGCCTTTATAGCGTTAATGGGTTTTAGAGAAGGCATATTTTGTAAGGTCTTAAACTGGGAACGAATATTGGAACAAACAACGTAAGATCTAGAGAAAGTCGAGTAGTTTGTATAGTAAATGTGTTGCTTTTATCTGTATTAATATATAGTGGATACTATTATATATTAATATATAGGTATATAAAGAGTCAGTGGTGGCCTAGTGGTTAAAAGGTCCGCCTCTCATGCATGAGGGCGCGGGTTCGATCCTGGCAAGTACCAATGTGATTTTACCGAGTCATATGTACTTTCTAAGAGTATTTAGACATCACTGATTAATACATTCCCAAAGAGGGTTGATGTCAGGCAGGCGTTCGGTCGTAAAAACAATTAGCCAAAACTATTCACACATCAAAGGCAGACCCTGGCTAAAGCTGCGAAATTGCCAGGTAGAAGAAGAATCTTTAAGTATAACTCAAACTAATTTAATGCATAGCTTGGTTATTATGTAATTGTAAGACCGACCATTATATTTTATGGATAAATCGTCTTGTTGGAGATACGAAACTTATTTATAACTTAATATTTGTAATGGTGAGGTCGCATTCACAGGAGTTAGCGATTATTATATACACAAATATATATTTGCACTATTATAAAAGGTAATCATTACGAATTGTACATATTTGTAAATAAAAATTAAAACCTCAACGTAAGCATGATCATGGAGTAACTCATAATCGCTTTCCGCTCCTCCTATCAGCGTGACACCTGTATATATTCAACAAGGTACTAAATAGTGAGCATAGGAATAATTTGTGTCGCTTGGAACTGCATAACGTGAAGTCGGATTAATAATTCATAAGATATATATATATTTTAAGTCAGTGGTGGCCTAG